GAGTCCTGGAATATCCTGAGCTGGAAAGGACCCTCAGGGATGATCAGTGCAGCCCCTGGCCCTGCCCAGACCCCCCAACAAGCCCACCCTGAGCATCCCTGAGAGCGCTGTCCAAACGCTCCTGGAGCTCTGGCAGCCTTGGGGCTGGGCCCATTCCCTGGGGAGCCTGGGCAGTGCCCAGTGCACTGACTTCTGGTCATACTGGTGATTTTTAAATTTGTGTTAACAAACAAAGAATGTGATTATTGAAAAATATAATGGTTGCTTCAGTATACAAATTTGGAAAGAGCTTTTGGGCACTGTCTTATTTGGCTTCCAAATCACATATTAGGGCTTCTTGTATCTGCAAGATACAAAAGGTGTTTTTCATGAGGAGGTGAAGGGAAAGCTTGAACTCTTAAAAATTTCTCTGTGGTCCAGCCTCAATGGCCTGAAGGGCGAGAGGAGTTGGTGTCTGTAGGAGGGCTCAGCTCTGTATGTGTGGGACAGGAGCTCTGTGTGCTGGGGGCACTGGTGTGCTCAGAGTTCCAGCAGTGGGGTGTTCCTGGCTCCAGACTCCTGTGCTCAGAGTTGTAGGAACATGTGGCGGGAGAAACCTGTTGTAAGAATTGCAAGTGTGAAGCTGTTCAGTCGTGCTGGCTGGAACTGTACTCCAGTGTTTTCCATAAAATGTTGGATGCTCTTTGAAGTGACTTTTGAGAAAGTGTCTGCTTTCTTTCTGTTACTTTTCCAATTAAATATCTTGGCAGAAACTATTGAACTTTCTCTGGGAACTCACGTTTCAATTTAAAATTCAGCATTTAGGTTGAAGACAGAACTCTGTGAAAAGTTCAGCTGGAGAGGGGTTGGCTGCAACAATTCAATGTGTGTTTAACTTCAGTTTGTTTTAAACTTATTGTGAAGAGCTTTGGGCAGCCTCAATAATTACTGCAGACTGCAACTCCTTACTTTAAATACTTTCCACATTAAAGAGATAAGGGTGATTGTGAAAAGCTTCCATTTATGTGGCTCAGAAGATTCCAAGGGCCTCTCAGACGACATAAATACAGGAACATTGGAAAGTACACCCAGGCCAGGAGCAGCACGTAGTGTGCTCCATCCCCTCCAGTGCAGGGAGGAGGGAGGGAGGGAGAGCAGCCTGGAGAGGAGGAGGGTGAATGGAGCTGCTCTTTGTGACAGGGAGCACCGTGGTGGCATCATCTCATCTCGTGACTGGGAACAGAACACAGAGGCTGCTTGAGCCTCAGCCAAAAGGCTTCTGCACGCGGGATTCCAGGATTGATGGAGCCTGTGGGAGGCTCTTCCCCAGGAGGTTCCACTGCCAAAGCCCTGTGGGTGTCAGAGTCCAGCACGACACACGAGCACAACCTGTCTGCAACCTGAGTCATGGGCACTGCAGCTGGGAAAAATAATACAAAACACCTGAACTGAGCCAAAAACCCCAAACTCAGAGCCATGGCTGAACTGGAGAAGCTTCAGGCCGCCTTTGGGGGTGCAGGGTAAGGTTGATCAGGCTGCTGGTGCTGCAGCAGAGCCATCAGGGATCACCATCCATCCTCCCAAGCTGCTGGATTTGGTGTTCATCCCCTGGGGCTCCGAAGGGTTAAAGCTGCTGCTCTGAGCTCTGGTGTGTGTCCCAGTGAACCAGTGCATCTGCTTGGGATTCTGATGGCAGAGCCTGGAGCAGGGTCAGGATTTGAGGGGTTTGGAGGCTGATAAGAGAGGCTGGAGCAGGATCAGGGGTTTGGGGAGTTTGGAAGATCCATGGCAGAGGCTGGAGCAGGATCAGGGGTTGGGGGGGGTTTCTATTCCATTTGCCTTTTGGTTGCCTCAGACTCCCTCTCTGAGCCAGTTGCCTGAGCACAGATGTGATGCCTGTTGCTCTTCAGTGTCTTTTCTGATTAAATCATGCAACCATAGTGATGAAATGGGGCTGGAAGTTTCTCTAGGAAAAGGGAAGCTGCTCTGTATTCCCTTCAGATATGTTTCCCTTTTCCCTAGCCAGCTCTGCTTTGAAGAAATGTAGGAGATCCTACTGGGTTTTTATATTTTTATTTTCTATTTATTTTTTAATTTTTTAAAATTTTTTATTTTTTAAATTTTTTTTTTGCGAGACTTGAGACCTTGGGAGCTTCTCTGCTCAGCCAAAGTCTGTTAGACAGCAAAGTAAACTTGGGAAGTGTTTCAGCATGGGAAGTTCAGCAGCAGTAGCTGTGGAACTGCTTTGGATTTCTTTATTCCTAGATAATGTCACAAACTAAGTCAAAAGCCCCTTCTGCCTGGAGTTTCCATGTGAGGTTGTGCAAAGTCACTTAAATTGGCTGATCTGTAGTTGTAGATGTGAATTGTGATTTATTATTATGATTTTTTAGATTGATTTTTTTACTTTTTAATCCAAGACAGAAGAATATGTTAATTAGAAATTTTTTGTCACTTATAGGGGTGACATGAAGACCTGTAGGACAAGGGGTCTCTATGTGCTCTGCTCACACTGCAAGTGTCCAGCCCCAGCAGTGGGGAGTAGGATTTCCTCCCAGGAAATGGTTATATCAGAATAAGCCTGAATTCACTTTTCCGGTATAATGTGCTTATGTTGATAAAGCAAATTCTGACTCTGCAGGAAGACAGTTTTTACTGGGAGAGCTGGATCAGCCCAGGGGGGCTCTGCTGGGATAATTCTGCATGGAGTGAAACGTGAACATTTCTGGGGGATGTTTATGGATGAGCTGCTGTCCTGGGTTATTCTTACACTTGGTAGATAAGAAATGAGAAGAAAGAGAAGTTCTCCTCCCTCCTTGTGCCCTCCTTTCAGTGCACAGAGAAAAGAGAAGAGAACACACTCTTTTATTTGTGCGCTGAGAGGCAGGAGCAGGTTTTAGTTTGGTTGCTTCCCTTGGTTTCTAGGCTAAGATTTATCAAAAGAATTACCTGACATTCCTGGGAGACTGGATTATGGATGCTGCTGTTTTCTGTAGGGTTTGGGCTGTCTCAGACTGGAGGAAACACAGCCCCAGATCTATTCTGTGATGTTTGGGGTGCTGCTGTGGCAGCAGTGAGCTGTTAAATGTGACCAAGGCAGTGCTGGGCTCCAGGCTCTGTGTGTTCCATCCCAAGTGTCCTGGCTACTGTTGTTGGCTGTTTTTCCTTCTCCATGTTGTAACTGGGATGATTTGGTTTTCTTGCCTTAGTGTTCTGCATGACTCCTAGATTTGGAGTTAACTTTTTGTCATCTGAAAAGTAGAGCTTTTTTCTGGTAAAATACCGTTCTCTGTTTAATTTAAATTCTTTAAGTTCTATTTTAATTTTAAAATAAATCAAATTAATTAAAGTTCTATTTTAATTTAAAAACCAATCTAATTTAATCTAATTTTCTTTAAGTCCTATTTTAAAATAGCTTTAGTGCAGAATACCAGACTGGTTTGGGTTAGAAGGCACCTTAAATATAATTTAGATTCATCTTCCACCATCCCAGGCTGCTCCAAGCCCCCTCCAGCCTGGCCTTGGACACTGCCAGGGATCCAGGGGCAGCCACAGCTGCTCTGGGCACCCTGTGCCAGGGCCTGCCCCCCCTCCCAGCCAACAATTCCTTCCCAATATCCCATCTAACTCTTCCTTCTGTAAGTGGGAAGCCATTCCCTCTTGTCCTGTCACTAACTCCACATATTAAAATTTCCTCTGCCTCCTGTTTGTGAGCTGCTTTAAGGCACTGGAAGGATGGCAGACCTCAGAAGTTCTTGCCTGTTTGTCCATCTGTCCTGAGATTTTTAACCAGGCATCAAAAGGGCTGTGTACAGGTTTCTTGGAATGAGAACTTGGCTGATCCCAAGTATGTGAACTGGTTATACAAGGGAAAGTATGTTTCCTCCTAAAAAATAGAAAAGCTGAGATACTGTTGGAAAATGTTTCCATTTGACTCAGATCATGTCCTTCCAGGTCTTGAAAATGAGATAATCCAGTCATTTTCTCTCATCAACTGTCAGTGGTTTTCTTATTCCCTTCCCTTCCTTCCCCTGCCTCCAGTCCTCTCCTTTGTTACCTGTCTCTGCCCTTTGCTACAGAATTTCCCCTGGTAACTCTACAGAAATGTCATTGCTGCAGCACAAGACAAGGGAAATGATTTGAGGCAGCCTTTGCACTTGTATTTCTGGAAGGGCTGTAGATACAAGACTTCTGATTAAAAGGTCAAAGCCACTTGCAGAAACAAATGTCTAAATATTACCCCAGCTTTGTGCAGATGGACTCTGGTAACTAAGGCTTCACAAGCTGGATACATCAGTGTGTGTAAGGAACTCCTGTGGCTTCCCTAAAATAGAACTTTATTTGTACAATGGTGCATATAAATGCAGCTCCAAGGGCTCTTTTTAGCATGCATTTGTAATAATTTGCTAAACCCACTTGCACTTCTGTTGTTCCTGAATAAACCCCTAAAATAAATCAACAAACCTCTATGTCTCACCCTGGTGTGGATGTATGATGCTCAAGGTTTGGGTTTCAGTTCATGAGCAGGGCTGCATATCCAGGCCTTTTTCTGTGTGCTCTGAGGGTGTTTTTGCTGTTCCCACAGTTTATTGGATGCTTTATTTTAGGAAGCCATTCCCTGTGTGAGAATCTCACTGCCCATCTGGAGCTGGGAGCCTGTGCCAGCTGCTGGGCCAAGGGAATCAGCTGTTCATTGGGAACTTTCAGTCAAGTACCTGCTGCATCCCAATAATCCCCAAAGGCTTCAGTCACATAATCCCCAGCCACGCGGTCCCTGACTGCAGGGAATGACAGAGAAACAACTAGAATGACAGTTCCTTCATATCAATCAGAGACACTTGAAAAATTTATTTCTTTAAGCTTTATTTTTTCTTAGAGGGCTCATTTTGATGGTTTTTAATGGGTGGAATTCAATGACTCCTTTCCCAGTATGCTTGGCACCTGTATCCTCTGAACCACTGTGATTGCTGTAAACTCCTGACAAACAGCACCTGACATGTCTTTTTTTTATTTAATTTCAGGACAAACACCATGATGCTGCTCATGAAATTATTGAGACAATTCGGTAAGTGATTGGTGCAGCCTGGCTGGGACCCTTCCTGTGCCTCTCTGCAGCTCTGGGAAGGGATGTCTGGAGTCAGGAGATGCAGCAGCAGGGCAGCAGTTACCATTTAGCAGCTCTGAGTTATTTTCAAAGCTGAATTCGCTGCAATACAGAGCTCCCTGCCAAATAGATTTTGTTTTATCTTGCTATATTCCATTCTGTTTGAACAGAGTTAAAAATGAGTGATGGTGTTCAGCTTTAGTGGCAGTTTGTATTTGAGCTTTGGACAGACAAGGTTAAAGAAATATCCTTGGCTTGATGTGTTATGTCCTGGTCTTGCCTCTGCCCACCCTCTCTGTTTCCCCTGTTGCTGTGATCTTGCAGCATTTGGGTTGTTTGGCAATGATCTCCCTGTAGCATTCCTCTTAATCCTGCTGATAGAGTTGGAACAGCGTGGGGAAAATGGGAGGATAAAGGTGAAAGACAACTGTGAGAAGCAGAAAGTCAGAGGATTTCCCAACACGGGCTCTCAGGACGTGACTTGCTGTTATTTCAGCAGGATTAGGAAGGGACTTGCCAAAGAACAACTTTTAATAAATGCTACACGAATTCCCCAAACACCTGAGGGATGAGGATGAGTTATCCCCATTACAAAGCTGTTCTTGTTAACTGTTTTAGATCCTTACATGCTGCCCTTGGCTCAGCTCGAGGCTGTGTCTGCAGCAGGTTTTAATGCTTGGGTAGTGCAGATACAGGTGAGGGAGGAGGTGCTTTACCTGTAGAATCACCTGATCTCAATTTAGTCACATATGGCAAAGGTGGTAGTGAGCCTTGTGTGCTCCCAGTGTGAGTGTGAGAGAGCCAAATGCTTGATAACATCGCTCACTCTCATGAAATCAGAGCATTACCCATGGTCTGGGGTGGCAGAGGATGTGGAATAAGGCTGGAGCTGAAAATTTTTCTCGTAAAGGAGTTTCTTTTCCTATCTACAAAACACTGCCACTGGTGCTGCCAGTTTGCTTGGACTGGTGGGGATAAGATCCTGTGCCTTGGGGTGAGGAGAAGGCCCTTTCCAAGGGAGCTTGGGCTGGAGGGGGTGGCTGGAGTTGTTGGTGCTTTCTGAGCTGGAGGCAGAGGGAAGCTGTCTTAGGAACCAGTTGGCTCAAATAAAGTTTCACAACTGTGTTTTAAGCAAGGTTGGTGTGAACTCAGTGTCAGAAGCTCTCGTGCTGCCTTTGCCTTGTGCAAAGTGCCCACAGTGTTGTTGTGAAAGTGGTGGGTGAGAGAATGCAAGGAAGCCTTTATCTCATCAGGCAGTGGAATCATGGAATATCCCAAGCTGGAAGGGACAGAAGGATCAAGCTGCTGGTAGGCAGTTGTTGATGGCCTGTTCCTGTGATTTAAGGGTAAGAAGTTTGCAGGGAGAGCCCTGGTGCGTTTAGGGGAGATGGGAGATGCCAGAAGAGGGAAAGCCATACATGTCCAAGTTCTGGTTTTCACTGGCCTGTGTAGTTATTAACCATGTGTGAATCAGCCAGAAGGAACAGAACTGTTGGAACTTTAGTCCTTTTCTTTTTTTCTCCCACCATTTTAACAGTGAAGAATGGAACAAAGTTCACAAGGAAGAAATTCTGGGATTCCTATTGGAGTTCATCCTGTGATGTGGGGTTTTTTGATGCTGACAGTGCTTTCCAATTTGATATTTGTGGAAGAAAGTGTGTGCAAAGCTTCTGTGGCTTTTAAATTGCCTTTGAAGGGAATTAATCTTCCTCCATTCCACAAGTGAATCTCTCTCCTATGAGCTGCCATTGTCAGATGCACTGCAAGTGGGCATGTGCTTTCCCTTTCTGATGGCCACAACACACAGGGCTGTATTAATTCAGAGTAACAAAGGGGTCTTTTATCAAAATAACTCCTAAAAATGTGCTTTGGTTGGGTGTGAGAGGTGTAAGAACAGTTTAGACACTCCATAGAGGAGAATATCCTGGCAGTCCTGTTGGTGACAGGGTTTTTGGGTTGCTGTGGGAAATGTCTTCTTCAGCTTTGTCAAAGCTTCCTGCAGCATCAGAATTCTTTGGAAATTCTGCACTTCTGCATTTTATGTTAGATTAACATCAGCCATGACTTTGAGTATTTTTAGACACGTGGAATACATTTATCACCTCATTTTGAAGCTTTATGCTCCTGCCAGTGTCTACAGGCATCTTGCTGTTTATTCAGTACAAATGTGAACTGTTGCAGTTTCTCATGATGTCTGCCTTATTTCTAACAATGCTGTGAGCTCCCAGGGCTGCTGCAGTATCCTCTCTTCATGTAAAGCAGTCCAGAATGGAGACAAATCACACTTAATTGGCAATACCTCTATTCATTATTTCTTCTTTCCTTCCAGGTGGGTCTGTGAAGAAATCCCAGATCTCAAGCTTGCCATGGAAAACTATGTTTTAATTGACTATGATACAAAAAGGTGAGAGGAATGTTTTTGTTCCCAGCAGGAGTTCAGGCCAGCACGGGGTGTAGTGAACCAGTGTGTAACTGGTTATTCTTAGACACTACCAACTGAAGTTTTCTCTCAGAACTGGCTTCAGGCTCTGCCGGAGTTATTTTGGTAGGAAATGTGTAACAGCAACATTGGCAAAGGCAGTTGGATTAAGGACATAATTGGAAACTCCACACAGCTCCAGTGCAGCTCTGCTGTACATTGAATTACTCACTGTGAAACAATGATCGGTATCTGCGCCCTTGGAGTGCAGCCAGGGTGGGACTCTCAATGGCAGTGAGGTTCCTACTCCTGTAGTAACCAGGAATTCCTGCTCACAGCAGGGCATGGCAGAGCTGGGTGTCAGTGGAAGCTGCACCTTCTCCTCCCTCCCCTTCCTGCTGGATGGGGGCTGAATTAAAAGTTGAAATTCCTAGCAGTGTTATGGGCACTTGGAGGGGTTCTGAGGTGCCTCAGTTACATGGGAATTCTTACCCACAAGCAGTTCAGAATGAATGTCTCTCATGGGATATTCCCCTCCTGGCTGGGAGAGGCAGATCCTGACCTGTGGTGTGTCTGTGGAGAGTTCTGAGATTCTGTGCATGGACTTGGCTCTACTGAGACTGGGAAAAGGGAGGATGCTCAAGCTGCAGTTTACAAAAAACTCCCTGGTTGCCTTCATGGGAAAGACTGAATTTATCCAAGTCCACAGAATGACTAAACTGTTAGAAGAAAATTTACAGATGAAACTGCATTGCTGTGGGTAGAATCACAAAATATCCAGAGGTGGATCCCTCAGGGATCATCAGTGCAGCCCTGGCCCTGCCCAGACCCCCCAACAAGCCCACCCTGAGCATCCCTGAGAGCGCTGTCCAAACGCTCCTGGAGCTCTGGCAGCCTTGGGACCAGGACCATTCCCTGGGCAGTGCCCCAGCACTCTTGGGGGGAAGAACATTTCCCAAACCTCCCCAGCACCAGATGCTTCTGTCATGATCTGCTGAAGTTATTTCTTCCTCTTCTCTCAATTTTCAATTGTTTCACTGCAAGGCTTGTTAGTCCCTGTATTCCTCCTGGAAAATTCAAAAAGAGTAATCAAGGTCAAGCATCCCTTGTCATTAAAATCCATTAATGTGGATTTGTGGATTACTCACAGCAACTGCATTACTGTAATTTTGTGGTTCTGGCATCCTCAGTTTCACTGGGGATCATCAGTGTGGTTGGCAGCAATGCTGAATAAAAGTGAAACCCCTCTGTTCCCTGAAGTCACCCCCCACTACCTTCCTGCAGCTTTTTAAGGAAGTAATGAATTTGAATTCTAGTAATGATTTTTTTCTTCCTTCGAAAAAATTTGTTAGAAAAATCACTGGCAGCAGATGGGCTGAGCCAAGGATGTGAAGGGGAAGCAGCAGGTTATGGAAATGCAGACAAACCCTGTTGCAGCCTCTTGCTTCTCCCAGCATGGAAACAAACACAGGCAGCTGGAAGCTTGGAATGGAATGGGCAGAGCTCATGGGAGAGGTGTCCTGGACAGTGTAGTGACCCTGAGGATCACAAGAGACTGAAGTGTCCCTTGGATGTCCCTTGGCCTCTCCATCCCTTCCCAGTTTTGGGAGTGCCTGTGGTTTAATGGTGTCGCTCCTGTAACTCCTTGTATTGTTTGTGCTGCTCTTTGTGGGTCTGGTTATGTAACAACTGATGTTCCCAGGAATATACTTTCTTTCCTGGCCTGAGATGAATTGATTTAATCCTCTCAGTTTGTGTCATTAGGGCATCTGCCTGGTCTGCCAGTAATCCCAGGCAGCCCATGGAGCAATCCCCAGGCTTTCCTGATGGGTGATGTTTTAGGCTGTGTTCTGGCCCTGCCTGCATTTTCAGTCCCAGAGTAAATTTCTGGAAAAGCATCTGCTTGTCTCAGGACTGATTATCATGGAGAGATGATGGCAAAAAGGAGAAAAATGTACAGACCTCTTAAATTTCTGCCCATCTGAAAATATGGAGAAGAGGTTCTGAGAATACAGCACTTTATCAGGAAAAGGGCTGTACTCAAAACATGACTTATAATAAAGGAACTAATATTATTTGCCATGTACTCCTGGTCTGATGAGGATTTTATTTAAAGGAAACAAAGTCTTAAATCTATGTATGTAATTACATATTCTGAGAGAAACAAACCCCAAATACCTACTAGGCAAGAGGATGGAAAAGCCCAAGGTTTTCCCTTTGAAGCTGCCTGTTTTGAGCTGCCCCTGTGTTCTCCCCTCAGCTTTGAGAGCATGCAGAGACTGTGTGACAAATACAACCGAGCCATCGACAGCATCCACCAGTTGGTAAGTGCTGAATTTGGGCCCTGCCATGGTTTTTGTGTGCCACCTTTGAATTCAGGTAGGGAAGAGCAGCAGAAAGCTGTGACTGACTCAGTGCTGCATTTTACCTGTTCCTGTAGCATCAGCAATAGCCAGCACTTCCAGGTTTTTGGGGGCTTGAGCTTGGTATTAAACTTATTTTCTTGATCACAACTGAGCAGTCAAGGAGTTAGTATTGGAGAGACATTCTTACAGAAAGAAAGGGAATTAAACACCACTTTTTGTTCCCAAATTCAGAGCTGTTGCTCTTCCTTGTGCACTTCTGGCACTGTTATTTTGGCACTTGGAAATAGCTGACTTGCCTTTAGGGGGAAGGAAAGGTTTATCTGCATTTAACACAGGGATTTCTCATATGGATTGACTTTTGCACAGGGAAATCTGTGACTTATGGGTACTTAAATAATCCATATGAACTCTCCTGTGTGTTGTGGAAATGATCCATGGCTTAGGAATTTCCTTGCCATAGTTCAGCTGCTCTGGCCTGTGGGATCACTGGCTAAAGTAGAATGTAATCTCTTTTCAGGCCAATTTAATGAGCTTTTTGGTTCTCTTACCCCCAGAAAAGGTTGAACTGGAGGAAGCAAAACATGAGCAATGAGTAATGTTACTATTCTCCTTAATTTGAAAGCATAGGTGGATTTTTTTCTCTGCTGTGCTTATGGGAATTATTTGAAATATGCAATATTATGGCAACAAGCCTTTTTTTCTGGGATTTTCTTAATTTTTTGGGCCTTAAAAACTTGTATTTATTTGGATTCAGGCACCATCATGTCTATGTTGGTTAATAGCTAAATATTAGCAGTTATTCAGCATTTGCAGTTGCTATCTGAACTGGCAAACCTGATGGGTTTATTTTTTTCCTTCCCATCTGAATCTCACAGGAGTGTTTAGGATAGATCCTGGAATCACCCTTTTTTTGTTTGTTTTTATCAAAGGGAGAGGTAAACATTTTTAAAACTTAACTTTTATGCTTAGGATGGGTATTTTTCTGAAGCAGAAAGGAAGCTTGATTTCCATCTCTTTCCTGCCACTCCCTGTCTGAGTGTATCTGATCCCTCCCTCCCATGTGACAGCAGCTCCTGGAGCAAAATTAACCTGTTTTTGTGTTGACAGTCAACATCGGTTCAGTGAGGATAGCACAGAAAAAAGAAGTGAACAAACATTTACACCCTCCCCAACTCTATTCAGTGCTGTGATTTACATTGCCATTTATTTTTTTGCATCTGTTTAAATTCCCCTTTATCACCTGTGAAATTAACTGTTAACTGAAGTGTGACAAAGTGCAGAGCACCTGCTGGTGTGCAATTTCTGCAGTGTCACAGAATGGTTTGCTTTGGGAGGGACTTTAAAGCCCATCCAACCCCACCCCTGCCATGGCAGGGACACCTTCCACCATCCCAGGCTGCTCCAAGCCCCATCCAGCCTGGCCTTGGACACTGCCAGGGATCCAGGGGCAGCCACAGCTGCTCTGGGCACCCTGTGCCAGGGCCTGCCCACCCTCCCAGCCAACAATTCCTTCCCAATATCCCATCCAGCCCTGCCCTCTGGCAGTGGGAGCCATTCCCTGTGTCCTGTCCCTCCAGGCCTTGTCCCCAGTCCCTCTCCAGCTCTCCTGGAGCCCCTTTAGGCCCTGCAAGGGGCTCTGAGCTCTCCCTGGAGCCTTCTCTTCTCCAGGTGAGCACCCCCAGCTCTCCCAGCCTGGCTCCAGCTCCGTTCCCTGTTTTTATCTTTAAGGAGCACCTGCAGCCCAAGCTGAGGGTGAGGGGCTGGGAGGGGACTGTCCCTCATTCCTCAGATGGGTTTGGTGGCACTTCCTTGTCCCCATAGTGGGTTCACACCCTGTCCCTGCTGTCCCCTGCAGTGGAAGGGGACGACGCAGCCCATGAAGCTGAACACGCGTCCCTCCAACGGGCTCCTGAGGCACATCCTGCAGCAGGTCTACAACCACTCGGTCACAGACCCTGAGAAACTCAACAACTACGAGCCCTTCTCCCCTGAGGTCTACGGAGAAACTTCCTTTGACTTGGTGGCCCAAATGATCGATGAGATTAAAATGACAGAGGATGATTTGTTCGTTGACTTGGGCAGTGGTAAGTGACCAATAACTGCTTTTTTTCTTTGCTCTTTGTACTTTAAAAAACCCCATATTTGGGAAGTAACCCAGAAGTACAGATTGTGTTACAGGATAAGCATCTTTTCTAGATAATCCCCAAAGATGCTCCTGCTTTTTATGCCAGGATTAAATGGACCAAACAAACACCCCAGACCTCTTTTCTGGTGGCAGTGAAATATCAGCCTGCAGTGCAATAAACCCTTTATACAAATCCCTTTGTTTGTGTTGGTATTTTGGATATACTTGTGAAGAAGCAGCAATGTTAAAAATCATGTTTGACCCATAAACTTGCATTCCTAAGGATTCATCTGTTTTCACTGGATTTGCTTTATGCCCTTCGTATCTGAAAATGGGATTTCTTGACCCTTCCCATGTGAAACACTTGGTGTGGAATCTGAAAATGAAGGGTTTTTTGCCTCTGTCTTGTCAGTGTGTCAAAAAAGCTTTCATAGTTTACTTGAACAGTTGTGAAACCCCACAAAATCTAACCAACAACTGCAACAGAGTTTTAAAAGGAAATCGATGTTTCTGGTTGGTGAGGAAACCAGGTATGACTCAAGCACATGTGCAACAGAGATACTGAGTAAGAAGATAATGTTCTTTTTCTTGGTAAAATCTGGTTCAGAACAGAGTAATAAAAGGAGTAATAAGAATTTCCACTCTTGCTTAATGTGTTCCGAAGTTTTAACACATTTAGATCCAAACAAGTATGTGTGATACAGGACTTCAGAGGAAAAAAAATATTTTTTCAAAATTATATTTTAAATTTGAAAGTACTTAAATGTTTAAATATTAAACAGTTACATATAAATGCTCAATATTTATGTATGTTATACATAATAAAATAATAGATTGTAGAATAATTAAATATTTAATAATATACTATTAAAATGTATATAAAATATATTAACGTATTCTAAAAAATAAAATATAATAGGTACTTAAATATATAAAATATAATTATATATTATATAAATATCTTTCTTGCCCCTGCTTTCTCTGTCAGTGGGACTGACTGAAATTTCCTGTCAGGCACTGATGTTCAGATGAGACCTTTAGAAAGACATCAGAGCTGAGAAACTCTTTTCCATCTGGAGGGAAACAAAATCTCCATAGATTCTCACAATTGTTTGTCCAGGAAGGTTAAAGAAGATCATATCTGGGGCCCTGGAGTGCTGCAGGTTGGGTCACAGGCCCATGTCAGACACTTTAATCTGCTATCCTCAGAAAGAAATCAGATGTTTCTCGCTCTGACCTCAGGGCTGAGCAGCACCAGGGGAGTGGGAACAGCTCTGGGAATTCCCAATGCCTGCAGTGTGCATTCCAGCTGGGAATGTCAGACCCCTGGCAGCTGAACCTGCCCTCAGCCCAGTCCCACAGTTCCCCTGTGTTTTTCTGTGTGCACTTTGCTCTAAAATCTTCTCTCCCTTGGCAGTGGTTTTGCTGGAAGTGCTCTCAGCTCTGGGGTTTTTGTTCCCTGCAGGTGTGGGGCAGGTGGTGCTTCAAGTGGCTGCAGCCACAAACTGCAAACATCACTACGGAGTGGAGAAAGCTGATATTCCAGCCAAGTACGCCGAGGTGAGTGAGCCTGGGCCGTGCCTGCAGGACTCACTGCTGCTCCGTGACCAGAGCTGTGCTGCAAGAAAAGCAGAATTTCTGCCCTGCTTGACTTCTGCTTCTCAGAGCAGTCAGTCCTGCAGCAGTGAAATATCAGCCTGCAATACAAGGATGTGCTGGAGGAAAGAAGTGTGTCCAGTCTGGAGTGTTGAGAAGGAACATTGGCATTTTTCTAGGGTGATGTCAAGCCCTGAAAGCTCTTTTAACAATAATGCCATTGCCTGTTCAAAAGGGAGTAGTGCAGTATAAGCTTCACCCAAATACCTGCAGTCATTTTGTGTCTGGAATGGCTCTAATGCAGCTCCCCGAGGCCACAGCATGCAGCAGATCCAGGAATAAATTCACCAAACAATTTGTTCTTAAATATTTTAAGGGCCATGTGTCTGCCTGTGGTGATGGTGCCCCTTTTTCAGTTATTAAACCACCAGAAGTTCCTCCTGAGGCCTGTGCTGGGTGTCTGCTGTGTAACTGCTTAGGAGGCACCTTAGTGAGAAAAAACATAAAATGGCCTGAAGCTGAAGTAGGGGAGATTTAGATTAGAGATTAGGAAAGAATTCTCTGCTGTGAGGGTGGCACAGGGTACCCAGAGCAGCTGTGGCTGCTCCTGCATCCCTGGATGCTGGAAAGGGCTTGGAGCAGCCTGGGACAGTGGGTGGTGTCCCATGGCAGGGGATGGAACTAACTGATATTTAAGGTCCCTTCCAACCCAAACCATTCCATGATTGTTTGATAATGTTTAGTCAGGCTTCTTTAGTCAGGTTTCCTTATACTTCTAATTCTGTGCCAATGGGACACACACAGATGATGAGTTCAAGGCAGCTGGGAGGCCACAAGTACACAGGGAAGGTCAGTCATGTCTTACCACAAGAAGTTTGCTTTTTTCAGTAGTCTGAACAGAAACTGATCCCTCTGAATTGTCAAAACACAGATTCAGCCTGAACAGGCTGGAAAATTATCCCTCATGGAGGGAGGGGATAAATGAAACTCTTTGATCCTTCTTTTCAGTGATGTGGGCAATAAATGCATAAGGACAGTGGTGAGGCTGATCAGTCAAGGACCTAAAAATCCACTTTGTTTCCTCTGCCAGGATTCAGTGGAATTTTTTACCTGGAGGGCTCTGCAGTCCCTCTGTGTGAACATCCTGGTTTTACATTGGAGCATTTACAAGGCCAGGAACCCCCTCTGTGTTTGCCATTAAACTTAAAGATCGGCTTTATAAGGGAAAGTGAAATTCTCTCACTAATACCCCTTCCTGTCACTGTGCAAACACAAAGCTTTGGTGAAAACAGCAAACAAAAGAGTGACCCACAAATGGAGCATTAGAGGTAGTCAGTGCTGGGGTACATCAGTGTCACAAGTCTTCCATGAGATTACTGGTGAACAAAATGCTCTGGATTATTTCCCTGCTTAAATCCTGTCAATTTAACAACCAAGGAGCTGCTGCAGTGTCAGAGCGTGTGGAGCTGCCTTGTGCCTCTATTAGGGTCCAGTTATCCTCCAATTATTTGTGGAAGAAGTTGGGTTGAGTTTCCAGTTAAATTGGCTGTGACACCACATGTCTGGGTGCCATGATAGCAGTACCCAGATAATAGATGGATAATGGAATTTGAAGAGCTTCACCTAAAAAGGAAGAATGTTATGGATTTGTTTTAATGAAGTTGCCTTAATAAATTAAAATGTAAGTTCATACATGAAAATACTGAAGATTTTTGGGTTCTCCTGCTCAGCTTTGGTGTGCTTTTCAGCATAAAACATGCCTGTCAGCACACACAGTTTTGTTGAGCTGCTGATGGAGCAGCTGACCAGCCATCAGCTTGAGTTGTCAATGGGATCAGAATTTCTGCTGGGCTTCTCACACAGAACCCCAGAATAGCTGGTGTTGGAAGGGACCTCTGGCAGAGTCACCTGGAGCAGGTGACACAGGAATGGGTCCAGGGAGAGAGACTCACCTTTTTGGGTCAAAACCTAAAGATCAGCTGGGGTCAAGCTGCTGGAAAAGTGGTGATGGGGATGTGTGAGGCACTGAGCTATCTGGATATGGGATTTTGTTCCTTTCTGCCTTTGGACAACAGAAAATAGCAGAGCCCTCCCTCCTCTGCAGCCCTGCTGTGTTTGGGTGCAGTTTGAAGCACTCCCAGTTGCTGTGGGAAGCAGGATTCTCCCTCTGCTGCTGGCACGCTTTGCCTGCTGTTTTCTGCCTTCTCAGTGACCCCAGCAGACCTGGCTTTGTCCTGGTTGTCCCTTTGCTGCCTGGGTTTAGGCTGGGGCTGCACCCGCCTCCTCCTTGTGGGATTATGCACCACAACTTAAGGCTGGGCTATTTTTAGTGCTGGGCAGTGTAAGGGCTTTTCTTAGAACATGGAACTTCCATGGGTGAAGATGCCAGCTTTGCCTTGGCCCTAAGGAAGTGAGGGTTTGGTTTTTTAAGGAAACTAAACAGCAGAAGCTCTGTGTCTGCCTCTCCTTGGAATGTTAATGGCAAAAAACCTCCAACCAGACAGAATTCTTGGGGCTCAATGAGTGCTTCAGAGCTGTGTCTCCGTTGTTTTGATGGAATGAGAAATACGAGATGTCCTAATATCTGGTTTTGGTTTTCCTCCCTCTTGCAGACGATGGACAGAGAGTTCAGAAAATGGATGAAATGGTATGGGAAGAAACATGCAGAATACACAGTGAGTGAAACTCAGCTGCAGATCGGGATCCACACTCACTTGCAGGATTTGTAAAGTCCCCTCCAGCCTTTTCTCAGCCACCAGCAATTGAGCCGTGGCTGCCTCCTGGCTCTTGTCTTGATCCTGGGCATGGTGTTTCCAGTATATCCTCCCAGACCCCTCTGTCATGCCAGATGTGGGGCATGGTGTTATTTGGAGCACTTCCAGGTCTCTCCAGAAACTCCTGGGAGATTTATTCTTCTAAAATGTTTTTTTGATTGGGGCTGCCATGAGTCTTCTGTTTGTGTTAAATCCCCTTTTCCTTTCTCCCTCTCCCTCTCCGTGGATCTGGGTTTTTGCCAGGTATGACAGCTCCTCCTTGGGGTTCTGAACTCTCCTGCTGGAAATAAAAGCTGAAGCTTTGGTTCTGCAGGCAGGGGAAGGAAGGTGTGGCCACCTGGGCTGGGTTCTGGAGGGGATGGGGTGCCAGAAGGGGAAGTTGTGGATGGATGGAGATTGGAGCAGGAAGCTCCAGAAACAGTTAACAGGCTGGATGGCTCTCAGGGGAGGGTGGTGGGTGGTTAGTTCTGGTTTGGAAGGGTTTGGATTTGGATGCTCTGAGGGTAGAGCTGGAGCAGGAGGAGTAAATGGGTCATCATGGGAGATCTTCCTGCCTGTGGCAAGGGTTGCATTGGAATTCCTTTATCTTCCTCCCAAAGTTTTTTTTCTCTGAGGATGTTTTGCACCCCAAGGATGGTGTGAGGCCTGTGCAAATCCATACACTGTCCTGTTCCATTCCTTCCCTTTTCCCTTTCTTCCCCTTTGTGAATGTCATTAAGAAAATCTGCTCCCTGCTTAATTACTTTCCAGTCAGGAAATGGATGCACATTAGAAACCCACTGGGAGTTTTGAAAACACATCTATTTCTGCTTCTGCCACTTTCCTATGGTCAGGGAAGAGGCTGGGTGGATCAGGGATATTCCCAAATATCCCAGGGAAACTAGGTCACTGCTCAGAGGTTGCAGTGGCCATGTGTCCTGGATCCAGGTGTGAGCAAGGATTGGGGACCTGCTCCTTCCCTTCCCTTCTGTGAAGATCCATCTCTGCCATGTCCCTGGGATGGTGTGATCCACGTGGCTTCAGCATCCCAGCACTGTGGGAGCAATGGCAGGTTGGAGCTGCCCAGCCTTTATTTCTCAGTTTTCTGTCTGCTGGGATCCTTGGTGCTCTCATCCTCTAGTGAAGCTTCTCCAGCTCTTCCAGGCTGGGAAGGTGATGGTCCCACCTGCCCCTAACACTTCCCTCCTGGAATTCCTGATCTGGATAGAGGGATTCCCTTCCAGGGGATGCTGTGTCTGTGGGGGGACTGGTCTGCAGCAGGATTGATAATTCCTTCCTGCTGTGGAAGCACTGGGAATGCTTTACTTTTCCTGCAGTGGCCATATGGCATTTTTCCATTGTGTCACCCAGCTGGCATGACATGAAAGGAATTGTTCCTGAGGATGCTCTGCTTCTGAGCTGGGTAATTTAAGGAATAGGAGAGGAACTTGGACTGAAATATTGGAAGCATATTGCTTGCCTTAGGCAGCATTTCCGTATTGAGCATTCCAAGTGACAGAGTCTGGTGCTATATCGAAACAAAGCTACTTATTTTTGCCAGGTTCTTTGGCTTTTATAACTCTGTTTTCTGTAGTGTTTAGAGTAAAATTTCCCTGAATATGCAATCTGGGGATTTTTTTAGGAAGAGTTAACACTTGCAGTGCTTCTTGTCTGAGGGAAAGTTGGTTTCCTGTCACCTTGGAGTGATGCTTGAACACAGATTTTGGGCTTTTATAGTAGACACACAGGGCAGATTTTATTTAGTTTTTATTCATCAAACAGACTTTTACCAGGCAGTTTATTTTCTTTAGGAACTCCTTAGCAGCATCTGCTATAGGTGACTGTTAAACACAGAGCAGATTTGCTCATGGTGCAGCTGGAGGACACAGGAAGATGTGGAATTGAAAGCCCAGCATCTTTGTCTTTCTGGAAAACAGCTTTGATCCTGCAAAATGCTTTGTGAGGTCCCAAAATTCCAAATGTTGGAGACAAAATAAGCACAAATTGAAATAATCTGTCATCAGCAGAGCTCAACTCATGAATTCCACTCCAGTGTTACAGGCAATCATATGAAAAATCAGTGTTTTGAGAAGAATCAAGTGCTGGAGGAGGGGAGGGCTTGGCATGAGTTCAGTGGGAAGAATCTTGGATCCCACCTGCAGCTCTGGTTGAACTTTGTGGATGGTGGTTCTCTCTTGCTGTAAAAGTAAAAACTGTGATGCATAAGGCAGCAATAAATCCTGGAGCTGGGCCTGCAGGGTCGTGCTGGGTTTTTGGGTTATTTTAACAGCCAAGATCCCAGTACAGTTAGAGATTTCCAATTCAAATGGGTTTGGGGTTCTCCCTGTAAAGCAATCTGCTGCAAAGTTGACTATAGCAGAGTGTTCCATGTTTGTTTGGCTTTATGCATCTCAACAGTTCCTTCTTACTTGGGAAATTATCTCTGTAGCTTTTCACCATCTCCAGCCTTCCCTTCCCACCAGGTAAAATATTTCTCAGGAAGGTTGTCTGATTTTTTTTGCCTTTTGCAGCAGTCCAAGGGACTTGAACCTCATGATGTTTTTATAACCTGCCCCAAATCCTTCCAACAGCATTTTTTCAGATTACCATTAAAAGAAAGTTGCTAAGAATGTAAACAAACAAAAACCCATGACCCCCAAAACTCTTCAAACAATAAATTCGTGTTTGAGAACCCTAGGAGAGAAGGGCAGTCACTGTTACCTCACCAAGTTGTTCTGCAGCCTTCAAATTCACCTTCTGGCCTTCTCCATTGGATTGCTGCTGGAAGTTCTGAGCTTGGACATGAATTCTGGAGAGCAAGGCCCAGTGCCAACATTTAAAATAAACCCTGATTGTCTAGGTGTATTTCCACCCTATTTTGTCCACAATTATATAAAGAAAATCCCTCTTGAGCAATGGTTCCACATAAAATTGCAGCCTCAGTTGTTCTGTAGTCACTTGGTGATAAAAGCACATTAAACTTCCCCAGCTGCAGGTGGCAAAGTGTCCTGGGGGTGTTGGATGCCCAAGGCTGCAGAGCCACAGCTGGATCATCCCTGCAGCTGGAGAGGGGGAAGATCCATGTGGGGCATGAGAGGAGTGGGAGGAATTTGCTCCTCCTGCATTGCTTTGGGAGGCTCCTGATCTCCAGCTGTTGTTGGTCACTGAGTCTCATAATCCTCTTAAATGAATATTTGCATCCCCTGCTCTCCTTGGAATGTGCAATTCCTGTTCGTTTAGGGAAAATCAGATTATTGCTGCTCTTCTCTCCTGCATTCTGAGGCAAGAATCCTCTTCCTCTAGAGCTTTTCATCATCATCATCATCTGCTTCAGCTTTTTGGACTAGAACATCCCACTTCCAACACATGTCCCTTTGTTCCAACTCCTTCTGTCTTCTCCTTTCTCTTCCCATGGAGCTGAGAAGTTTCCAAGATTAGCTTTACCCCACTCTTTTCAAGTAAACTTGTCTGAAGAAAGCAGGAGACTTTGGGAAGGTCATTAGGCCTGGCTAATTAGCGAGTCTTTCTTGGGGAATTCCTGCATATGTGCAGCCATCAAATTAAAACCCGGCATGGCAATTAAGAGGCAGATGGGTTTTCATGGTTTCTAACTGTAAATATCCTCATGTGGCCTCAGAATCGGAGCCATCTCAGGTATCTGGGGCAGGAGGCTGAGATTGCTGCGTAGCACAAAGCTTCTCTGGGCTTCCCTTGGAGAAGTTTTTAGGGTTTTTTTTTGTTTTTGTTAAGTTCTCAGTGCCTGTAACCTGTTGTTGGCTTTTTCTGAGAGAAGAAAACACAGAGCAGACTTGCTCATGATGTACCTGGAGGACACAGGAAGATGTGGAATGGAAAGCCTGGCATCTTTGTCTTTCTGGAAGCTTTGTCCCTGCAAAATGCTTTGTGAGGTCCCAGAATTCCAAATGTTGGTGACAAAATAAGCACAACTTGATCCCAGGATCCCAGGCTGAGCTCAGAACAGTTAGGAGTCAGTGCAGTCCCATGCTGGACTCTGCTGAGAACCAGGATTAGTTTTGTGTTTATTTACTCAGGGTTGTTATAACAGAATTCCTGCCCTGCTCTTCATAAAAGCTTCTTTTAGCAGGAGGTGGCAGTGACTATCAAACCAAGAGCAGGAAGCAGGTCAGCATTCCTAAAGGTGGGATTTGGGCTGGATGGATGCCTCTGTCTGCTCCCAGGAAACCCCAGGAGCTTCTGGTGGCTGGAGGTGGTTCAGCCCTGAGGATCAGGGGTGAGTTTTGGGCATGGAGCAGTGCAAGCCTGGCTCTGTGGCTTGCAGGTCTCTCCCTGAGTTTGGGGTGCCTTTCTGCCTGCTTTTTCTGTTGTGAGCATAAGCAGGGAGTCCTGTGGGAGTTCCAGTGCCCAGGAGCTGGTTTGTGATGGTGACTGACATCACCTGTACCTCAGAACTTCCTGCTGCCAGGAGCTGCTCCCAGGGAAGGATGAGCCAGCTGTTTGCTCCCGGTATTTTCGACTGCCCCATTTCAGCGGGAAATTTGCTGTTTTGGCATTTGAAAAGCCCTCCAAACGTCCCCTGTGGCTTTGAAATGATGCCACATTTTGGAGGTTTGGATTCGTGCCTCTGGTTATTTTTGAAAAGAACAGGGACCTAAAAATAACCGTGTGTACTTTTCCAGGCAGAAATGCCGCGTTTTTGGGAGCCAAATGTTTGCACGGAGGCGGCTGGAATGAGGCATCCTGCCTGTGAATTTATGGCTCTGTGGAGCGTTACCAGAGAGCCTCCCTGTCCAGCACTGGGGTGAGAACCCAGCTCTCCTCCACAGCACAGGGGCCTGACCTTCCCAAATTCCTGCTCTGCTCCGTGATGAACTCACACCCTCTGTGTAGCTCTGGCTGCTTCCCCCAGACTGGGACCTGCTGCTTTCCATCCACTTGCAGGAAGAGTTACAGGAATCAGATGCTGCTGAGTGTATTCCTGCAGTGTCTTTTTGAAAAACCTGAGTAAAAACCTGGTCTGGCATCTGAATTTAGAAGCAACGCAGGCAGCAGCTCTGGAGGCGATTTTGCTGAGCTAATTATCCTGTTAGATAAAGCATCTCCTGCATTGTCTAATCAGATGAAAATATCTGTGTTACAGATGGTCCCTTCCATTCATTATTCACTAAGGAGATTAAGTTTCTGAGAGAGAGGAGGAGCAGGGTGAGGGAGGGGACAGTGGAGGAAGAGATTGAGTGTGGCCCTGTGGCTGTCACCGTGTGGATGTGTCCCCTTCTCCCTGAGTGACCAGCACAGACCATGTTCTGCTGGTTCAGCTGCTGCTGCCCTGGGGCAGGGATTAATCAGCTGGACTTTTCTTCTCAGTTCTTGTTTCACTCTCAAAATTATTGCAAACCACTGAGCTGAGTGGGATTTTGTGGGGGAATTTTTTTGGATTCTCTGTCAGTTGATGGGTAAAGAGCTCATTTCCTACTTCTAGGGCATCAATTTATTGATCACTGCCCCAGCACAGTGGGTAAGGGCTGCTTACAGTGGTCGGGCAGCTCATTCCCTGTCAGAGGGCAGCATCCAGGAATCACTGCCTTGCTTCCAGAAGGAAAAAATAACCCATTTTCTTCCAGGTGATCATCTGATTATTTCTGTACTCCAATGTTTTTCCTGGTGAAATTTTTCCCTTGACTCTTGGCTAAACATGAGCTGGGAAAGCAGTGCCACACAAAAATAGATGTGTTTAAGCTGGGCTGTGGTTAATTTGAATTGTTAAATGGTTCTGGCTTTCAAAGTGTTCATCCTCCATGGGTGATATCAGGTTAAAACCTGGAGATTTGGTTATAAGTGCTCTTCTAACCACATAGACAGGGCAAACACACAGTGAAACTGGACCCAAGTGAGGCCTGACAGCCACTTAGGTTGGATTTCAAGACCTTTATATGAAGTTTAGCGTTTCAAAATTGTTTCGTGTTACGCTGGTTCTCTGTTCTCTTGCAGACTGTGGCGTTCGTGGTTCCTGGTTTTCCCAATGTTTTTCTTTCCCTGTTAGTGTAGGAAAACCCTGTGGAGACTTTAGAAACTGGTGGTGTGGAGGATGCCATAGAGAAGCTGACTTGCAAATATTTTTATAAAATAAACACAGTTGCCTGTCATGTGGATTTTTTCTGACTTTGTCTTGGTTACTCAACCGTGGAACTGTTCACTATAAGAATAGATAAGGCTGAGATAAAATTATCTCTTAAAATCAATCTAGAGATGGTGTCCACATATAGACATCCAGAAAAATTCTTTCCTTTTATGAGATGAGAAGAACTCTTCTTAGAACTTTTTTGATGTTGAGTCTCTGGTTTAGATTCTGACAGTACCCAGCAAGATGTCCTCGGGTTGGATCTTTGAGTTTAGCTTCCAGCTTATCCTTTGTTTTTATTACAGCAGGGATGCCAAAGATGCTTCCCCTCCCAGCAGGTGGGAGATCACAGGTAGTAATTCTGGTTTAACTCTAATTTCAGCCCAGCTGGTGGAACAGGTATTTCTGAATAACTTGAGCTAATCTTACCCACTCTGTTCAGTTTCTACTGCTTAAGACTCTTGACAAAGTTCCTGATCTCTTGACTGAGAACCCTCAATGTCCACTTTTCTCAGCCCTCTTGTGTAGCAGCAGGACATTTTGGTGGTTTTCCCCTTCCTTTCCTCCTGGAAGAGCCCCATTCCTGTTGGCACTTGTGGCTTTGTCCTTCCCAGTGGCTCACACAGGTTTGTCACCTCCTCTGTGTCCCTGAGTGGCACCAGGTCCTGGAGCTCCCTTTGGGTGTTCCCAGGCTGAGCCAGCCCTGAGGGATGGAAGTTGTTCCAGTGTCTGCACTGCAGTGCTGGCACTTTAGAGTTGTCACTAATGAGAATTAGTGCTGCCATGTGAAATCCTCACTCCTTCCCATACAGAGAAATCAGTGCAGGAAAAGAAGCCTCAGCAGTCGCTGCCGTTGCTTTGATGTTCCTGAGGTTCTGGCACAAACCATCATCTTCAAAGGGTGTCATCAGCATTAATTACAGAGTCGCACCTTATTTTTTCTCTCCTCCTCTTATCCTCCTCCCCAACTCTCCTCCTGCCTGACTTGTGGCACAGAAGAAGAGTGTGGCCCATGGGCTCCTCTCATTTCCAAAACATGACTGAGAAAACATCAATCTGCCAGAGCTCTGTGTTCACCTGGGACTTGATGTGGTGTCATCAGAAAGGTGCTTCACAAGCCACTGAAGTCATAACTGTATTTATTTTGAAACAAGTTCGTTTCCAACTTGGAAGTGTTAGAAGTGCTCAGGGTTTATATTTAACACCACAAAAATCAGATTCTTGTTTGTGCAGTGCAGAAAAAGCCTGAATTAAGGGCTCCCAGCAGGAGCTGTTCCCAATCCATGCTCAGCTCCCTCTGCCGTGGGGGCCTTCAGGAGGGATTTGCTGATCAGTTTTGCAGTGAGTGCCAGCATTTCTGGCTTCTCCATGGAGTGACCAGAGACCCTTCCCTGTTCTTCCCACACAGGAGAGTGGCCGAGGGTGGGAGCAGGGAGGGAGAAACCGCTGGGATCTGAGGAATGAGCAGTGTCAGCTCTCCCTGCTCCACCTCTGGGCTTCCAAAAGGTTTCATTTGTCCCTGGTTGTTGTGGGTTCACAGCTGGTGCAGCCTGTTTGTCCCTCTCTGAAGGAAGCAGGAGGGAGCCCTGTTAACCCCTCTGTATTTCTGTGTTCTTTGTCTTATTTTAAGCTGGAAAGAGGTGACTTCCTCTCAGAAGAATGGAGAGAGAGGATTGCAAACACAAGGTACAGTACAGCAATTGAATGCTGCCTTCTGAGCTGGATATTTGGGAGTTTGTATAATGGAAATTGGGAGGCTGGCCAGCTTTTTATATAGAATTTCCATAGCAAATACCCAAAGTCTATCTGCCAACTCTTACACTGGCCTCTTTAGATCCTGTTTTCTGACTAGAAGAATGGCTTTGAGTGCACGTCCCATGATATTCCTTACAAGGGTGTATCCAAGATAAATTCTGATTATATGAGGAGCACAAACCTCCATTTGTTTTGCATGTCCCTATAGTTCATGTCAGGGATTCTGGCTAAAACCTCATTTTCTTGGCTATTGGGGCACACAGACTCACTTTCCCTCTAATAAAAGGGAAAAGATCCAAGTGAGTTTGTTTCAACTTAAATTGAAAGTTCATTTAAACTAATTGTCTTGAAGATTTATTTATGTGGAGAGCTGTGCAGAGGGTTGGGCTCCTTTCTGTTCTGTGGGAGCAGAAAAAGGAGTAAATTTGTTAAAAGCAATAAAAGTCGTCTGTATTTTTAAAGCTTTGCATTCTTTCAGCCTTATGGGTAGAAAAAAACCTCTTTATTTTTATATGACCTTCTGGGCCACCCTGTTATGTGGGGGAATGGAAGGCAGTTGTCAAAGAGAGCTCTGAAAGCCTTCAGAGTTGTGGCAATTTCTGGATTGCTCCCAAAGCTTTGGTTTTGAGAGCCTGGAGGAGGCGTCTGCCAGGCTGGTGACTCCTGCAGGATTCTGCCCCTCACTTTCTTCTGGAGGTGCCTTTTAATTTGTGGACAGACTTGTCCCAGCCTTGCAGCACACTTGGGTTTGGCTTTGTTGTTTGTTATTCCAAGTGCACAATCCTCTGCTGCCCGGGCAACTTTCCTCAGAATTCATATAAACTTTTAGAGAATTTTTTGGCTGCAGGAGCTCTGGCTGCACCCAGAAGTGCTGGGAGATGTTTGGTTTGTGTGGCATGGCACTCGCTGTGTGTGTTAGTGCTGCTCCACCTCACTCTGGTGCAGGATGGGGGAATTCTGGAATGGTTTGGGTTGGAGGGGACCTTAAATTTCATCCAGTGCTGCCTCTGCCATGGGCAGGGACACCTTCCTGTATCTCAGGTCCTGTTCAGTCTGGCCTTGGACACTTGCAGGGATGGGGCTGGTGCCAGGACATAGTTCCCTGTGTATTCCAAGGGATCCCTGTGCCTGGGCTTGGCAAAACCTCCTGGAACGAGGGCTGAGCCCAAGAGGGATTTGGGGTTCCTGTGCCCTGCACGTGCACACAAAATTCTGTGCTAGAGTGAACTATAAAAACACACATCTGCAGGCTCTGGCTTTTTCCCTTCCTCTCCTGGATGTTTTCTAGTCACATGAATATGTTTGGCTCTTTTGCAAGGCCTTTTTTTTTTTTTTTTGGCACATGGGAGGGAGGAGGAAGAAACCCCTGCTAGCTTTACTTGCCAGGCAGGGTTTCCCAAATTTCCAAGAGCAAGGCGTAGCAAGAATAACTTTTTTTTCCCTTGGTGCATAAACATTTTTTTTTCATTCGTAGTTTTTAATAGCTTTGACTGCTGCTCTTAAACTCCATGTCCTTGTTGAACATGTTTCGTGTGTGGAGGCACTGGGAAGGGAGTTTTCCAGCAAAGAAATCAGTTCTTCATGTGGGAACAATAGGCCAGGATGGCTTTTACACTTCACAGAATCCTGGAATATCCTGAGCTGGATCTCACCAGGATCATCAGTGCAGCCCCTGGCCCTGCCCAGACCCCCCAACAAGCCCACCCTGAGCATCCCTGAGAGCGCTGTCCAAACGCTCCTGGAGCTCTGGCAGCCTTGGGGCCGGGCCCATTCCCTGGGGAGCCTGGGCAGTGCCAGCAGCCTCGGGGGGAAGAACCTTGCCCTGAGATCCATCCCAAACCTCCCCTGACACGTTCATTCAGCATGGAGCTCAACCACTTCCAAGAGGTGTTGAGGACTTCTGTTGCAGCCTGGTAGTAAATGGACCCCAGGGACAATTAGACCAGGCTGAATAGACCTTAAAACTAAAGGGGTGTTTATTTTTTAATCTGTGGCATGTTCTGTTTCTTTCCCAAGTCCTTTTATCAGTTGTGGGATTCTACCTCTGTGCAGATTTCTTTGTTTCCGTATGATTTTCTTTATCCAGGAACAACCCCCTCCCCTCATTGAATTTCCTAACCCAGAAAGATGCAGCTCCTCTGTTGTAGACAGGGCTGAAGTGCTCGGTTTAGGACAGGGAAAATGTGCTAAGATGTTACTGTCTTCTGGCATTATGGGGAATTTGGAGCTGGAAGAGAAACAGATTGCCCAGAGCAGCTGTGGCTGCCCCTGGATCCCTGCAAGTGCCCAAGGCCAGGCTGGACAGGACTTGGAGCACCCTGGGACAGCAGAAGGTGTCCCTGCCATGGCAGGGGTGGCACTGGATGAGCTTTAAGGTCCCTTGCAACCCAAACCATTTTATGATTCTAAAATACATTTTGCTGTTTTGCTGTAATATTTCAAGTCCTCACCAAGAAGTAACAGCATGAAGTGCTGAGTGTTGCTCTCCGTGTGTTGGGTGGCAGGAGCTGTAGAGCTGGGGACAAGCAGGTTTGTGCATCCAGGAGTGGCTGTGGTGTGACTGGGGGTCCTTGTGGGGTGTTCCTGGCTCCCTGATCTTTAACTGGATCATTGTTTTGCAGTGTTATTTTTGTCAATAACTTTGCCTTCGGGCCTGAGGTGGATCACCAGCTGAAGGAGCGCTTTGCGAACATGAAGGAAGGTAAATCCAACTGGAAATGTTTTTCCCTTGGTTTTGTGATTCCTGTGGGAGCTGGGCTGGGAGAGGGGCTCAGTTCCAGCTGGCAAAGCCAGACCTTGGGGTTATTTTGTGCCTCGGGGAGAAGTGTCTGCACCACATTGGGATTTCTACTTCCCACCTTTGTGTCTGCCCAGACCTGCCTGGGTCCTTGGCTCCATCCCCTCTGCTGGGATGACTCTGGAGCAGGGTTGGGGTGGGAGGAGCTGCTGCTCTGTCCTTCCCTCTTTTGGGAGCTCACAAAACACCCATCAGCCAAGGCCAAGCTTCCTGGATCCCTGGAAGTGCCCAAGGCCAGGCTGGGCAGGGCTTGGAGCACCCTGGGATAGTGGAAGGTGTCCCTGCCCATGGTAGAGGGTGGGATGGGCTTTAAAGCCCTCCCAACCCAGCCCATTCCATGATTCTTGGCTGCAGAGGCTCAGCTTTGGAAGGCCAATCTGTAATTCCATACAGAATTCACTTCCTGGGTTCTCCTGTTCAGAGCTGTCACATTTGGTGCTGGGTGTTGACTCCTGACTACTGAAATGCTGGAGTCCCCATCCCTGGAAATGCTCTGAACCTGTGGGGATGTGGCACTTGGGGACAGGGTTTAGTGGTGAGCGTGGTGGTGGTGCTGGCTGATGGTTGGACTTGATGATCTTAAAGGTCTTTTCCAACTTTAATGCATCCACAATTCCATAAAAACTGGGACATTGTCACTGGACACTCCTGAGAAGCCAAACTCTGCAGACTGGGGACACCCACTGACCCCGTCATGGCCTCTCCATTGCCCTGGGTGTCCTTCTCTTTGCTCTTAACCACTGGGCTAAGTAACAATTATACTTGGCTGTGGCAGAAACGACAGAAATAACAAATTCTGAAAAGAAAAATGTGTGGTGTGAACAAAGCAGCTGTGACTTCCCATGGCACAGCTTTATGCTGAAATAAATAATGTGACTTTTGGGCTCTGCTGCAAACCATAAAACCCCCAAGCTTAAGCTGTTTTCTTTAATTTAACTGGATTATTTTTTAGTTTTCAAACTTGTTTAATGATGGCTTGAGAGCAGTGGGAAGGTGGGGATGGTTCAAGAACCCTTTACAAAGAGGAAACCTGATTTCTTTTCCCAGAGTGTGCTTCAGGCTCTGCTGAATGACCCCAAATACCCATGAAATGAACATTAGTGGCCTCTAAATAAAAGGGCTTTGGGGGCTTGTGTATAAAAGATCCCAAGCAGGAAGAAGATAATTGAAATTTCTTTAGATTGCCACTGAGAATTAACATGCTCTTTTTTTTCCACGTGTTTCAAATCTGTCAATTTAGAGCAATCCATGAGGTGTCACCTGGCAGAAATCATAGATTCGCTTTCTTGGGGCTGTCAGAAGGAGAATTAAGGGATTTATTTCTTTTTTAATGCTGTACAAGGAGCAGTTTTATAGGCCTGCTCATTAGGGCTCTGTACTGGGTTATATTTAATAAGTAGTTACTTCTTGAATGAATAATGGAGCTGACTGTGCTCTCTTTTTTTTTTTTTCCCTTCTTTTTCCAGGTGGGAGAATTGTGTCCTCAAAACCTTTTGCACCTCTAAATTTTAGAATTAACAGTCGAAACTTGAGTGGTATGATTGCCCTTTTTATTGTTCATTACAGTTGTGGATGTTCATTATCTGAAAATGTCTGGGGGGGTGTTATTGCTTTTTAGAGTTGTTTAAGTAGAAAATGCTGTTGGATTATTAGGGCACATCAAGTTACAGGTACTTAAAATCAATCTAAAAGTCCCCACCTAAGAGAGGAGCAGACACTTTTCATGGGGTTTGTGCTGCTGGTTTTGGGGTTTTTCTTGTGTCCCGGGCTGGGCAACTTTAGAGCTGAAGAGAAATCTGGAGTTTGAGGGCGTGATTCATTTCTTCAGCCACAAAGAGCTGCTGTGACTCACAGGGGAGTTCCTTACACCCTAAATCCAGGCAGGCAAATCCCATCAGTCAGGATTAGAGGTTGTAGAGCCAGGCTGGGAGAGCTGGGGGTGCTCACCTGGAGAAGAGAAGGCTCCAGGGAGAGCTCAGAGCCCCTTGCAGGGCCTAAAGGGGCTCCAGGAGAGCTGGAGAGGGACTGGGGACAAGGCCTGGAGGGACAGGACACAGGGAATGGCTCCCACTGCCAGAGGGCAGGGCTGGATGGGATATTGGGAAGGAATTGTTGGCTGGGAGGGTGGGCAGGCCCTGGCACAGGGTGCCCAGAGCAGCTGTGGCTGCCCCTGGATCCCTGGCAGTGCCCAAGGCCAGGCTGGACGGGGCTTGGAGCAGCCTGGGATGGTGGAAGGTGTCCCTGCCATGGCAGGGGTGGCACTGGAGGAGCTTTGAGGTCCCTCCCAACCCAAACCATTCCAGGATTCTGTGAAATGTTCAACTTTGAACATCTCCTGTACTGTGCATTGAGCAAACAAACCTCTCCCAGACACACCCAGGAGAAACTAAGGTCTGGTTATTGCCAACACAGGGTCGTTTCTCCTCCTCCTCTGAGTGCACCAGACCTGATGTTTGGCAGCCTTGTCCTTTGCAAGGGCATGAGGCACAGTTTAAGGAGGTTTGGGGACATTCCATGCTGTTGCTGATGCTTTTGACCTTTTTCAGACTTTTATTTTTGAAACTGGAGTGTCTGTGCTGAAGTTGGACTGACATTCTTTGTGGGTCCCTTCCAGTTCAGGTTATTCTATGAAACTTCTCAAGCAAAGAAGCAGTCCAAGCTGGGCTTTACATGTATTTACTGTGTCCAGTGCTAAATTTTCCCTAAATCAAACCCCCCTTCCTGTGCAGACGTGGGGAGGAACTCACTGAGTTCCAAATCTCAAGCTGTGCTGTCTAATTTTGGCCTAAACTGCTTTTAAAGAATAGTAATTTTTGGACTGTCACGAAGTAAATTGTGCATTTGGGAGTTATTTTTAAGCTGGAATTGTTGTGGGTGTCCCCACATCAGGCACCCAAACCTGCACTTTTCTTCCCTGTTTGAAATTCTATTCTGGGGCCTCTGGTGGTTTGGAACCTTATTGTGTGCTGGACTGCCAATTCTTTGGAGATACGGACTTGGAAATAGAAGGGGAAAATGGTGCAGTGCTTCTGGAGTTCCTCAAGCTTTGGGAGAGTTGGGATTGGGATGTCAGGTTGCTAATGAGGCAAATAGAGCCTGAGTGAAGCTTGGGCCTTCTTGCAGAGCCCACCAGAGCTTGAGGAAATCCAAGAATGCACTTGGAGAGGTTTCAATTAGACCTGCCCACAAAAATACAGGGCTTTGGCCACTCAAGGCTTTTCTTTGCTGGATTCTTCCCATTTCCTTCTCTCTCTGCTGCATTTGGGAGACTGAGGCCAGCATGTGCTGCTCTTTCAACTCAGAACAGCCCTGACTGCCACTTGAGCCAGATCTTTACCCTGTTCCAGGTCTCACCCCAGCATGGATTCATTTGGAATATTTTCTAGAATGCTGAAGTTTCAGATCTCAGCTGTTATTTAATGCTGAATGGAAATGCTGATGTTCAAATTATATTGACATGATTAATTGGGGTTTGGATGGGTGAGAGGCTTAGCAAAAGGAGAGCCAGCAGCTTCCACCACTGGGAAACTTCCAGGGATTCAGATTAAAAAATTACCTTTGCATGCTACAAACAGGGAGAATTGTGTGAATAAATTTTAGGGCTTAATCTCTTTCTGAGACCTTATTATGTCTGGGAAATAAATCAAATGAGCTTGTGTGGGATGTGCTGGGCCTGGAGCTTGTTCTGGTGGCCTGTTCCAAGTGACACTTCCCAGGAAATGCCATCCCCAGCCATGGCCAATATCCTGCACATGGAACAGGGAATGTCACTGCTCTGCTGCCTTTGTGCTGCCCCACAAGGCTTTTCATAATACTTTTATGCATCAAAGCTTTTTTTGGTGCCTGAGCATGACTTGAGTCATATCTCACCTGTCTATCAAATACTCTGATCTCGAGTATGAACACTTAAATAATTTATACAAAACACTGGAAAAGATCAGGTTTAAGAAGAAGGCACCAGTTCCCTCAATACCACTTTTGTGTCCATAGTAGTTCCATCTGTAGGAAGACACGGAAATGTGGAAAGAGTTGGGACAAATGAAAACAAGTATTAAAATGTGGTTAAAATAGTGGTTGAGGTTGCTGAATCCCAAACCTTGCTTTTGGCCTCTTCTGGATCATTTGTGTTTAATTAGAAATGTGCCATAATTTCTCCTGCAGCCCTGCTCAGTGTTTGTGGGAATGTTTAAGGCACATCCCATAGCTATTAACTCTGGAAAACAAAACAAATATAGACAAGAAAGCAAACCCAAAACATGTTTGTGCCCAGTCCAAATATGGGGCAGCTGCAGCTGACAGGGGCTGGGCTGGTGACGTTCTGGGACAGTTTAATTCAATCCTGTCACACACACATGTGTTGTTCCTTGGAAGAGTTGTGTGGGACACAGTTGTGTTGGCCAGAGCTGGGGTGGCTGGCTCAGAGGTACATGTCCCACATGTTTGTTTCCTGTGGGGTGCACGTAGCAAGAGAGAAGAAATTCCCTTCAAACCCCCAGCAGTGTTTTCCTGTGGGATCTGCAAACCACATTTCTCTGTGTTGGTGCCTGGCTGGTCTCAGCTGAGCTTTCCCCTAACCTGGCTCTCCTCCCACAGATATTGGCACTATCATGAGGGTTGTGGAGCTGTCACCACTGAAGGGCTCCGTGTCCTGGACGGGGAAGCCAGTCTCCTACTACCTGCACACGATTGACAGAACCATAGTGAGTACCAGGGGTGCCACGGGCCAGGAGCCTCTGCCCTGCTCCAGGGCAGCATTTCCCAGCTCCACATCCTTCTCCTCTCCTTGTGTCCCTTGGTGGATTTACACACCTGAGTGTGCAAACCCACTCTGGCTGCTCCAGGGCTCCACACACCCTGGGGTTAAGGGCAGTGCTGATTTACTGAAGCTGCAGAGATTCAATGATAAAATTCCTTCTGCTGCTCCTAAGAACTGGGGTCTCCTGCTGTTATTTCCTCACAGAGGGAGGCTTTGATTCCTCTGTGGTGCACAGACCATTTCATTCAGTCATATTCAACCAGGAAATGTCAATGTTAGTAAAATTCTCAGCTGCTGTAGAAGCAGCCCAAGCTCCAGAAAAATGGTGATGCATTCACTGTTTTTTTTTTTTTAATTAAAGAAAACTTAACAAAAAACCCAAAACCCAACCAACAACAATAAAATAC